CGGTCCGACACCTCCAGCCGCTGTGGCAACACGGATTTGACCTCCGTCGGGATATCCCGCAGTGGCTTTGACCTTCTCCGACTGGAATGTGTACGTTGAAGCCTGCAGGTAAGATTATTTACCCTCCTCCGTGATGTTCCAACTGGTTAACGTCGGCGAGACACGCAAGGATTAAATGCCGTTCCTATGACTTATTGTACCCGAGTTCCGTAACCTGACTCAGCATTGCCGCTTCGGGCAGGTCTCATCCCCTGCATTCGAGTCACACAGAGGTGCTAAAATGATAATAATTGCAGATAACAGGCTCATAACAGTGAAATGGATGCCCTAGTCCGGGGTAGTAGTCCCCCAGAGAGCCCAGATATCAGGTCAAAATTTCAAGATTTTGCGTCAGCCGTCGGGTAATGCTCCCGGCGGAATGGAAGTGTATCCCTCATCCAAGCCGCTAAAACTCAGTATGCTTGAGGATGAGGGCCCGGTCATCAAACTGTGCAGGCCACCCATCTAGCCAACTTAGTGTCCTGATGTCGAGTTGAAAAGAACTCACGACGGAGTTCTCAATGTTCAGGCTCAACGGTAAGTGCGAGTAGTAGGGTGAACTTCACTGATGATTCTAACAAGTTCGAGGGATGTACTCAGAGTAAATACTGAGGGGTACGTCGGTGTGCCTGAATGCACAATAAGGATAGTATTTTACCTGGGTGCTAAACCAGTCAACGACGACTACCCGGTTAGGAGGAGTGAGAATGAGTTAGAAGATAGGAAACAAGCACCAATGACTCGACGCTACAGGCATGAGTCTCATGGAGATCAAGAATCTTCCGATTCCGCAAGTGCTTAAGATGTGGTGGTTATAGATAGCGTTACTTGTCGGGTGTTTGGTACTATAATACAACACTGGTCTAAGTCAAGTAAAAGCAATGAAAGTGATCCTAGATATTCGAACCTACTATACTCAGCGTGGCAGTGAAAAAATCTGTCCAGGTTCTCCGCTAGACGGCGGTCTCGATGTGCAACAGAAAAACAGTCTAACACTGAAGTCTGTACCTTGAATGTGAAGGTAAGGTCTGTCGCTCTGGAACTTGGGATTTTGGATTTTGCTAAGTAAAGAGCAAAGAGCCCTTGGGTATTCCCGCTACTCAGCACTCAGTGACTATTAGACTTGTTATACAAGCTCATCATACAAGTCCGAATTATCTTACTTACCGTCACTGCGCCGTTCTCTCGGCATCTACAAGGTCAGGATCACCTTCGGCAAGTAGGGCCTTCTTGATTCCCACGCTTCTAAGGCTCGTATTTCGGGACTTTCGTAGGACTCTGGGGATATAATCTCCACAATAGGCTATTTTTCTGCCTCTTTTAGAACGTCTGAGCACCTCTGTGTGGCTCGGATGTAGGGGACGAGGCCTGCCGGAAGCGGCAATGCTGAGTCAGGGCTGGGAAACTCGGGTCTGGCACGTCATAGAAACAGTATTTTATCCTTGCGTATCCCGCCGACAGCAAACTGGTTCAGGCTTGCCTGAAGTCAGTATTGTGGATGGAAGTCAAAAGCTTGCTCGAAGCTCAATCTTGCAGGCCTCTCAAACCAACGGCAGTATGAGCGCTCCGAGGAGCCCGACGTGAAATAAAAAAATTGCGTGTTCACGCTATTATGCAAAACCCAGTAAGAAAATTGCTGTCTTGGAGGATGATCGTCCCCAGTGTCTATACCTCGTTGACGACCCTAGACGCTCTCTTCACTCCCGAAACCCAATGGTAAGATGGCCGAGCGGTTAAGGCGTGTGATTCAAGCTTCCGAAACACGAAGCTTTCTCTTCTCATGGGGGAAACCCCGCCAGAGTTCAAATCTCTGTCTTACCAGGACCTGTTCTTTTTACTTTGTGCTATCGTACAATACAGTGAAATCGTAAAAATAACGAGAAATGGAAGTCAATGAATGGATCATGCCGATTCGAGCTTGTAGGCGGCCGAACGTGGGAATTCACTGCAGTTGGTTCTTTCATCACGACCACAACTTTCTCATCGCGTCCATTCAACTGGAACGGTCTTTAAAGGGCACCAAAGACAAATATGCTCTAAAATAGCTGCGAAGAATCTGCCTCCTCCTTGCCAGTTGTCAGGCATCCCCCTCAGCTGACCTGGTATCGAAAAAAAGACACAGACAAAGTGTAGAACTCGCTATCGGGCCACGAGGCCATAATCACCATGGCATGGTTATTGGTGGTTTTAGAACGGGGGCTTCTGTATATAAGCCTTCAGACCTCTCCGATTCAAGCTTATCCATTCTCTCACAACACAATGAAGAATCTGGCTGCCTGCATTCTACTTATAGCCTTATCTTTCTTCGTGATCATTCGCCGAAAACGCCGCAAGCTGCCACTTCCTCCAGGCCCTCGACCACTTCCATTACTGGGTTCGTATTCAATTTGAGTCGAAAAGGAAGTCTCACAGTTCTTATCTATTTGAAGGGAATTTTTTCGATATCCCCGTGCGACATGAATGGGAAGAGTATGTGAAATGGGGTAGAAAATACAGTATGCTATTCTTGCCGTGCTCTAATTCGCTTACGATTCTGATTTTTAATGACCGTTACCGCTCCTTAGATTCTGATATCTTGTATCACGAATTTGTCGGGGCCTCAACTATTATCCTCAACTCTCAGCAGGCAGTGAACGACTTGCTCGAGAAAAGGTCTAGTATCTACTCAAGCAGGTGGTACATCGCACTTTTCTTAGTATGGCTTAGACTCCTTATTCACTTTTCCAAGACCGAGAATGATCATGACGAACGAATTGTGAGTACTCTGTGCATCAGTTGGTCGCTACTGCTGGTTCTGACGATCACGATCATCGCCGATGGCTCCTAGGATCGGGTTGGTTTCTTACTTTTGTTATGCGCGATACTTGTCTTTATAATCGCCTTGAGATGGGACTGGAGCTTTACATTGATGCCCTACGGTAAGCGGTGGAAGGACCTCCGAAAACCCGTTGCACAAGGTGTTTCAGCCGCGCGCACTCCTGACATTGTAACCTTCAACTCAATCTACTCCCCTCTTTCGCCGTAGAATTCAATCTGAAGCAAAGCGACAAATATGAACCTCAACATGCAGTCTCCCTTCTGTTCTTTCTGAAATCTCTGCTGAACGATCCTGATGATTTTTATCACTTGCTCCGACAGTCAGTCATGAAGTTTCCCCTATCCGGTGGCTGGAAAATTTTGTGACGAACCTCTTGCCTTCGCAGCATGGCGTCCTCGTCCATCCAGGCTATAACATACGGGATTACTCCGAGACCAGCAAGCGCGTCAATCAACCCGGTCGTAGCCAAAGCTGAGAAGGCCGTTTTGTCCTTCGCCTTGAGTACCATACCAGGGTCATTTTGGGTTGTGAGTATATGATCCTTTCGCTTCCGAGTTCAGACGGATCTTCGGCGCCCACAATCCCGCATAGGACTACATGCCCTTACTCAAACACATCCCACCCTGGGTTCCCGGTGCCGGTTTCCAACGAAAGGCTCAAGAATGGCGGAAGGACGTGATGAATATGCTGAACGAGCGGTACGATCTTTTGAAAACGAGGATGGTGAGTAAGACTTCCCTGTCAGTGGAAAAAAAAACTTTTCTCATCGAACGAATGGGTATTCCTCCCTCCCCTCGACTCACAGGCAGACGGGGACTATGCGCCTGCTTGTTTTGTAACTCACTGTTTGAACAGCGATTCTGGAAGTGGTTGCGATGAGCAGCTGATACGAGAAGCCGCTGGAGCGGTATATGCGGGTAAGCAATTACCCTCCCGAAGACGGGATAGTAGCAAAGCTGAACCTTTTCCTTTCTCAGCTGGAACCGATACTACGCTATGCGCGTGGGAAACTTTCTTCCTATGTAGCAATGTTGTGCAACCCGGATATTCAGAGTAAGGCACAGGAGGAAATTAATCGAGTTGTCGGGATGTCAAGGCTCCCCGAGTTCGAAGACGGGGATCACCTACCATATATTATGGCCGTCGTGTATGAGCTTCTAAGGTTACTCTTCTTCTATTTCAATCTCCTGTCCCGCCATTGATGGTAACCGTTGCAGATGGCAGCCTGTGAACCCTCTTTGTGCGTAGCATTGAGATCAGTACTGCACTTTGTCCGGTCCCGCGAGTCCTAATGAAAGACCTGCGTTTCAGGCTTAGCTCATCTCGTCACTGTAGACGACGAATACAACGGTTATAGCATCCCGAAAAAGTCTGTGGTATTCGGTAACGCCTGGTAAGTGCATACCCATGATACATCATCGGCCTCCTTTTGTATAATCAAAAGCTTTGACGCGGCTTCAAGCACGCTATTACATGACGAGTCAACCTACGGGCCTGATACCTACGAGTTCATCCCTGAGCGTTTTCTGACGGAAGAAGGCTTGATCAATCCTCGGGTTCCAGAACCTCTCGCAGGATTTGGCTTTGGTAGGCGGTGAGTGGGCGTGGTTCATTCCACAGTCAATCCAAGCGACTGACGGGATTGTTCTTTCCCTCATCGTAGGATCTGCCCAGGCCGCCACTTTGCAATATCCTCCACCTTCGTGGTTATCGCTTCTGTACTTCAGAGTTTCCGGATTTCGAAGGCATTGGATGAGGACGGGCGCGAGATCGAACCTACCGGAGAGTTTCTTTCTACGCTCCAGAAGTATGTGACGGAGCTTCTCCGTCTACTTCGAGTTGCAACTGATTCTCTATCATAGTCGACCTGCGCCATATTCTTGTAAGATCCAGGTGCGAACCGTCGCCCATAAGGTCCTGATAGAGTCCTCCGTCGCGGGGTTGAACGACGAGTTGGGGTTGGGTCAAGGTCGTTTCTAGGCCGATAGCGGCGTTTTGCGCCGGTACTGTACTGAGCCTGTACGTATCGGCCGTTATCTTTCGAATGGAAAGAAATTGCTGTTCAAGTCTTGGGGGATGATCGACTCCCAAAATACATAAGTACTTCCGCGACGACGCGGGAGACCTACTCCCCGCTTGTAATGGTAAGATGGCCGTGCGGTTGAGGCGTGTGACTCGGACTTCCGAAATTCTCATGGGGGAAACCCCCCCAGAGTTCAAATCTCTGTCTGACCAGATTATATTTTCTCGTACTTTACTTTTGTGCATCATTTGCCGTGAACAGACCCCTCTGCGTTACCTGTCGCGCTTCGAAGAGGATGAAGTGCTGTTCAGAACCTGTCAGAACTGGTATGACTCAGGAGATTCGCTTTAATTTGCGGGGAGGACGCACTCGACGACTCGGGAGGTGCAAGGCGTGACATGGGGCATGGGGCATGGGTCATGATTGAAAACTCCGAAGAGGGGCATATTTGTGGTCCTAATAGCTAAATCATAAATCATATCGAGTCTACTCTAACTAGTCAAGGCATAATACATGAAGCCATAATTGAGGAGTAAGGAAGACGAATAACTGATACAGAGTGCGATAGCCATTAGGTAGACAGTCGAAGCATCTGATAGACAAAAGAAGTACAGCACTAGATAGAAGATCGAAGGTATGTAGTTATATATACGGACGAGTATACGGTGAAAATTATGAGCAGACCAGAGAAAAGGAAACCGAAGGTGTGAGAGAGAGAGAGATGGAATATATGGATACAGTGTGAACAAAGTTGATGATGCAGAATAACACAGGGGGTGATGCAATCGTGATGAAAGGTCGTCAGGTCGATGCGAGCGGATGTGGTTTACCACTTAGCTTCTTCCCTGACGGGAAGAAGCTTAACATATCTCGTGTTCTTCACAGCCTGGCCCTCCGAGCCAAAGTAACGAGTTGTTTGGAAACTCCAGTGCAAGGAACTGGGTGGTGTGATCAGAAACATGGAAACAGCGCCACAGCATGAAAAGGGGTAAACGGGGACGAGAAACTCACCCAACAATCCAATCTTGCAGCCCCTTGACGTAACGTTGGACCATATCATCAACTTCAGGTCCCCATGACGGCAGGTTCTCCCTCGTCGCGTTGAAGTTGTCGATGCAATTTCTGCACTTCTCGCCAACGAAGTCCATAGCACTTTGGAGAGTATGCCCATAGTGCACCATGAGGATGACGATCATGTTGTGCGTGTCGCCTCGTGCTTGCTCGACATTGTACGAGAAGATATCCTGGATAAACGTTCGGGATCAGAACGGGTGCTATCGCGACTGTGAAGCGAGTAAGGAGACCGGAGCTCACGTTGGACCAGGTAACGAGGTCATTGGTATACTCGTTGAGAGCACTTATGGCAGGACTCGACGCAACCTCCTCGGGTAGATCAATGTCAAGGGCGTATCTGTCAAACGGGAAGGGCCACCACGGTCAGCACAACAAAAATCATAAACAACGTGCCGATTCGGACTAACTCAATCAGTGCCCAGCACGGTTTGCAACCTAAACCGATAGCAGGGGGAAGACATGATACATCAGGGCCAAGCATATCGACAGGGGGGAGGAGTTGAAGAAATAGAACGTACCGGAAGTATCCCTTCGGACGTCAATGTACGTCTCAAGGTCTGGAATAACATCCGAATCACGCGCGATGGTTTGAATGTGAACAGCTTCGAAGAACAGTTCCAATGTTTCCTTGAACCGGCTTTGACAGCCAGGCTTTGCATCGCGGATGCAACGACTCCAGAAACTATTTCGGCGGAGAAAGGTAAACAAATACACGTCAGTCAGAACGGGACGCCGCGTCAAGAATGGAGAAATATATGTGCGCACTCCCTAGCAAGCTTTCCGGCGTTGATTTCTTCCTCGGGTTGCTTTTTGCCGGGAGCGTGAGTGGCCTTGTAGGCCGCAGGGAACCAAAGAGCGTTCATGACAGAGTCTGCCAGAACGTCCGTGTCACTCGTCATCATCCCATCACTGATATTATCCCTGTGCACAAAGAGAACCATGTCAGTCTCAGGGTTCATGAACGTGGAGAGGGCGTGTGCCAGGATGGAACACGAAAGCGGGAACGTGATAGGAGAGGGAGGAAAGAGATAACTCACAGATGGAACAAGTAATTCATGAAATCAGAAACGACACGAAGCCTCTCATCCGTGGTGTTGTTGTAGCAGAAGGCGGTCAGTTCACCTGCTTGGAGCCCATAGAGGGCTTTCCGTCTCTTCTCGTTCAGCATCGGACAGTTCTGGTCCAGCCACCGAACAGATTGAGAAGCAACCGCGTCCCCGTTGTCGTGGTACGCGAGGGGGAATGTACAGTGAGAGACCAGGTCGGGAAGCATGAACGAGTCCACCGTGGCCGGTGATGCAGCGTCCGCCTTCTTGACGGTGGCAAAGCTTTCTGCGGTAGGAGCAGTTGAACCGAAGTCGACAGCCATTGGATCAGGTACTAGATCGTTCGTAGAGTAGGAAGAGGAAGCGTGTGGACGTTCACGAAGAACAAAAAGGGAGAAGAACGTTGGGAAGGACAACCTGATAAACTTTTACACTTGACGACCGACATATATATCATTCCTCTCTCGATCGCGGCGTGGCAAAACGCTGGGCCTGTATACAATAAAAGATCGGCTAGATGAGCTCCTTGGGCACAAAAAAAAGCAATATGAAACAAACCTCCGTTATCGTGACTGCGTCAGGGTCGCTAAAAACGAGCGGAACAAGAGAACTGAATAATGAACCTTAGACAGGGTGCACGGTGGCTAGAGTGGGATAGGGTTGTTCTCCTTCTTCACTGGTGTACGGTGGGTGGAGACAAAGGCGCTGGTATCAGATGAGATTGCAGAATCCCGATGGTGGCATATCAGACATTAGCCTGAAAGGCCCCGACGCTGCTGCAGAGAAAAGAACAAAAAGACTTTGCGACAGGGCAGCCAAAGTGCAACAACGCGTGCCCGACAACGCGTGTTCCAGCGCCCGTGTTTATTGGACATGAACCACTTTTGGGCATTCTACCGAAAGAGCGCCGGCATTTTGGCCTCCCTGGGGGGTCGTATTCCAGTTCGACTATGAAACAATTAGAAAAGTGAATTGTACGGCCGTGCCGGTTACTCACCAAGCATGGCATCCAGTGGCATCACGATAAAATTTGACGGGAATTTTGGTTATGGGATGCACCGCATTGGGGCTGGGAATGAAGTTTCGTCACGACCCACGAATAAGCCAAAATACCACCAGACCGCGAGAATCGGTGAAAACGGAAAGTCTGACTCTCAGACCTCGCGGTGTTTCATAATTGTCCGGTGCATCCCCGTTCGGCGCCAATGCTCACCACAAGTGAGGAACTAAGTTAGGATTGCTTGGGATGGCGTCAAGTTGTTACTAGTTGGTACTGTCTCCGATTTCGGCAAACGCCTGTTTTCTCACAGGCAACTCCCGAGATACACATCAGTGGCTTTTGTCTTTCATTTCTCCACTCGGGTGTGGGCCATATGAGAGACAGAGGACTGGATGTAAGGCTGACAGGGAATCAAGAACAAAAAGAAAGGAAATTTCAGCTCCGTATCTTCATTTTTCGTCACGTTGACTTACACATGATTTTATGCTATTGATAGGCGCATAACCTCGCATAACCTACACCTCAGCCTGACCTGGGCTTGACCTGAGCGCAAGTGGACCTCGTGTGAACCCGAACCGGTTGTTGGAGGAACAAATGGCAAAGTTGCCAAGTGGCCTTCGACCCTAGGCTATGTATGACCTCTCCAGAGTGCACGCTTTGGCCTCCAGGTGAAAGCGGTACAAGGGAGTGGGCAAGACGGTCAAGAAGAGCAGATGCGTATGTACCAGCTTGACGTGCCACCTTCGAAAACGCGAGTGTTTCAAAATCGCTCGCCAGAACCAGGAAGGAGATGGCGATCCATGGAGTATGGTCCCCGGGCACCGTTATGTCACTGGAGAATCTGAACTCCCGACCGGTTTCGGGGAAAACAATAGGCCTAACTCGAGCCTGAATCTACTACGTAGAGGGATGCAGACGAGAGCCAGGAGCATGCCCGATGGCCTCCAGAGACGCGAGATCCAAATGAGCATAGCACATAGTGACGGTACGAGCTCGGCGGAGTGCCAAAACCCCGGAGATTAGCCACGACGTCAGGCTCAGGTTGCGCGTAGAGAATCGCACTTTGAGAGTGGAGTGGGGGTACCCCCAGGTCTAACCAAGAAAGAAGAGCAGTCATTCAGGTCTGCAACGTGTTTGATAGCTAGTAGGCTCACCATGTGCATGCGCAGCTGATTGAGATATGGGCGTACCTTCCATCTTGAACTGTCTTTCAAGTCAAGACGTAATGAAGGGTTCGTCCGAGTCTCCACCTCCAAGTCTCTACAGAGGCATAATAGCAACGGTCCGCATGGGTCAAGCAATTGTTCGCCGATGTCATAGGATAATTCAAGCAACATGTTCAGGTCTGAGGGTGAGGGTATTCACCCTTCAAGGCCGGACCCGATATGTTGAGAGCATATAGAGGTCGGTTAGACGTCGGGGAATCGCATGGAATGTCAAGGCTCGCAAGGGCTGACTCGATAACATATCCGGATGTATGGGATCGCAGACGAGATCCTACGTGGACGGCGTTGAGATCTGAAGAGATTCCGTCGCAGATCTTGAAGTTGGCCGTCTAGATGCTGCTATGAGTTCGAAAAGATCGTAAGTAATAACGTACGCCAAAATCCCGGGTGCAACTACATACTTGTCGACATGAAGTGAACCTGAGGAGATGGTCATTTCGTGGCCCTTGAGGCGTTTTGCGAGCGAACTCTGGCGACAGATATGCAGAATACCTCTATGAAGATCTTAATTGAGCGGATCAAAGTGCTCCAAGAGCATACGAATTGCAACTAGGCCAGGTCCAGAGAATGAATGGTGGGAGTTGAGATCTGAGAGGTAACTGAGCGCTCGTCAAGCGCGTAGCCACACTGTGGGAAGATAGGAACGAGGAACGTGACACAGACACATGCGTAAGGCTGTGACGCGTCCCTCCTCTGACTCTAACCCTCACCTCGTCCCCTACATCCACAATCTACAACTAGATCAAAGGATAAATGTCGGAATTGGATGCTGACATCTATGGTGGTACGTTTGGATTATCTATCTTTCTTTGAAAAGACCTAACTATTACTTGCATAGACCTCTACCAGAGCGCGGAGGTTCCTGA